TGAGTATTGTGTATTTATGCCAAGCAAATGAATATGATTTACTGCTGATTAATTATGACAATGTTTACGTTTTTTTATTTTTTTTATTGTAGTATGTTGTAGATCTAATATTTGAATAAGCAGCATGGTTCTTATCGTTAACTAAAGCTAAAAAATGTCATAAAAAACCATAAAAAAATGTCAATACTTGAAATAAAATAAACATTAAGTGAAATAAAATGTTTGAAAATTATTATTTATTTTATACATTTATTTATCATTTTCATATAGTTTAAGTTGATGGACTAAAATGAGTAAAATTAAAACTGACATAAAAATGAATGAAAAGAAATACAAAAATAAAACCGAAATGTGACAAGTGTGAGAGAGTGTGTGTGTGTGTGCGTGTGAGAGAGTGTGTGTGAGCGTGTGAGAATTTGTGTGTGTGCGTGCGTGTGAGAGAGAGTGTGTGTGTGCATGTGAGCGTGTGAGAGAGTGTGTGTGCATGTGAGCATGTGAGAGTTTGTGTGTGTGTTTGTGTGTGTGAGAGTCTGATGACGGTGTTAATTTACTGTCACGTAACTCCAGCTGTGTTATGATTGTACAATCTGTGATTGAGCAGGACGAGATCATGGACACACAATATCAGCGGCGCAGAAAGACACTCGAGACGAACCTGCAGCCAACAAACACACACCTCAACACACTCCAGAACACACACCCACATCAGACTCCTGCTATCCGTCTGTCCCACCCAGCTCCTCTGACTGCATCAGTGAGTGAAACACACACACACACACACAGTCTGGTCAGCTATCCTTGTGGGGACTCTCCATAGGCGTAATGGTTTTTCTACTCACACACACACACACACACACTCTCACACACATACACACACTCTCTCTCTCTCTCTTACACGCACACACACTCACTCACACACTCTCATACATTCTTTTACACTCACATTCTCACTCTCACTCACACACACACACACACACTCACATACTCTCTTACTCTCACACACACTCTCTCACACACACACACACACACACACACACGCACTCTCTCTCCTAGTCTCTCACACTCTCACTTACTCACTCACTCACACACACACACTCTCTTACACGCACACACACATATCTGACTCACTTTTCTGTTGTCCAGTTCCTCCTCCTCTGGCTCGTGTCCCAGAATCCCCTGCTCTGCCGGCCCCACCCCTGAGCCCGTGGGTGCTGCTGTCTGTCACAGAGGAGGCGGAGCCGGGTCCTGTCACTGACAGCACAGAGGGTGGAGACTCGCCTCCCCGTGAGTTCATCATTTCCTCTCTACTCTCATGAAGTTGTTTCATATCAGAATGTCCTCCTGAATCGTGCCGTGGGTTTTCTGGGTGTCTTTAGTTATTTTTACAATGTGTGTATGATATATTGTCTCCGTGTGCAGCTCTGGAGTCTCCTGCTGGTGTCAGTGTGTTCGACACACACACGTCACACACACTGACGGTCAGTCGCTCCATCTCCTGTGTTCACCCCAGCACCGAGCCCGAGGACGACGCCACTGACCGCCAGCGCTCAAAGTCCCTCTCCTCCGCCGCTCCGGCCAATCACGTCTCCTGATTGCTTCTTTTTTTAGCATAAATAATTTCTAATTAAACCTATATATTAAGTATGCAGCTTGTGAGCTTGATCCGTGCTTCTCAACCAGGGGGCCTCAAAAATTCCAAATTATTTTCAAAATTAAAATTATACATGAAAAATCATGTTAAAAACAATCAATATGTAAATTTATTTTCCCTACAGTGGTGTCTTAGCATCATTGAGATTATAGTTTTAAAATATTTTGAATTCATTTTTATATTTTTTGTTTTCATATTAATTTTAAAGTTTTAGTAATTTTTTGTTTGCCACTTTTATTCATTTTTGTTTGTTAAAAATGTCTGTATATTTTATTATTTTCATTTTTATTTCAATTTAGTTATTTTAGTACATTTAAACTAAATAAAAATGTGAAATGTTGCCTTGGAAACTAGATGAAATAAAACAAGGTTACGTTTTCTTAGATGCATTTAACATTTATTTCAATGTTTATTTTTTATGGTTTTAGTTAACTATAACTATCACAATAATCAATTAGAAACGTTTTAAACAAGTATAAAATCTTAATATAACCCTTTGCTTATTATATACAAATGTAAGACTTTTTTTTTTATTTTAATCAGTATGTTGTTGTAATCCTTCAGTATCTACCAAACAGTGTACTTTTACAAGAAAATAACATTTCAGTTTTTGGTAACACTTTATTTCGATAGTCCACTTCAGACATTCTACTAACAGTAAGTAACTTTGCAACTACATGCCAACTAGCAGTCATTAGAGTATTAGTAGACTGTCTGCTTAATATCTTCTAACACTTTACTTTGATGGGTCCACAACATACACACACTGACTATGAGAAACTTTACAAGTTTATGTCAACTTATTCTACACTGTAAAAAATGATTGTGATTTTAACAGTAAAAGACTGTAAAAATGCTACAGAAAAATAACTATTAACTGGTTAACAGTAAGTTTCCATACTATATTCGGTGAATAAATGTAATTACATTTAATGTAATTTTACAGTAAAATACTGTAAAAAATACGGTTTTTGGAAGTGAAAAATAAAAAGTCATTGTATAATTTACAGTAAAAAATACAGTGAAAATTCCCTGCATGACACTTAATATTTGATGTTTTTTTGTTGAAATAACATGTTTCTTTT